GCTCCAGGGGTGGCCCTGGGAGGCTCTCGCCCAGCCCTCTGACGGGATGAAGCCTTTAGGGGGATGCGGCGCTCTTTGCATTTTGATTAAAGCCCCTCATCTCCCTTCAGTCTGAAGGCAGGGCACCGGGGAGGACGGGTCGGAGGGGCCTGCGCAAGGCCGGGCAGAGAGGGAGGGGGGCGAGAGAGAGAAAACCCCTCTTGGTATATCACGTATGGCTCTATAGGAGAAATCATCTCTGGGAATATAGTGGAAAGGACGGAGCCGGTGTAAACTGAAGGCGCCCGGGTTTAATTCACACTTGTGGGTGCCCAGCATGGAGATGCAGAGATGGTCCACAAGGTGGAAAACGAGAAGGTGGCCCTGGGACTCGGCTGTAACCGTGCTCATCACCCTCGCTATCCTTCTCCGGGCTGCAGAGGTCAGAGGAGGTAAGAGAGCAAAGGGAAGCCGGGGGGTCCAGTCGCCTGTTCGTTCCCCCCCCCCGGGGAGAAGGACCCAGGGCACGGCTGGGGCCGCGCTTCAGAGGAAACCTGTCAGAGCGGCTCCCGATGCTGGGGAGGCGAGAGGGCACGAAGGGGCTTGGGGCCGGCTCGGGGCGCGGAGACCCGCTGGGAGCCCCTGGCAGCGCGGGCAGGGGACGTCCCTCCCAGGTGCCGCGGAGGGGTGGGTCCCGTTCAGCCTCAGCGTTTAACTTTGGACGTGGTTTTGATTGCAGTAAAGGGGATGCACTGGCGGGGTGGGAAGATGAAAGAAATACTTGCTGAACAGCGTGATTTCTCCTCTTCCAGCACTAATCTCAGTTTTGTGGGGTGTGCGTACGATTTTCAGTTTTGTTGAACCTACAGAGTCGTTACTGTGCTAAAGTTCGCCAAGTTGTGGCTGAAGTGGAGCGACAAGTATCTGCCCTCTCCTCGGAGGGGCGAGGAAAGGGAAAGTTGGGGGGTGGAGGCTCTCCGCTCTGATTTTCTCCATTCTCCGCTTGTTGGTTTTTTTTTTTTCCTTCTTCCCTTTGCAAAGGGTTTCAGTGGGCAAAAAGTTTTCCAGGACGCGAGGGGAGGAGAAAATACATTTGAGGGGGCCCTTCGCCAGGCGTTGAGGAGAGCAGCTCCCGGCGGAGCGGCGCCCCGCAGGTGGTGTGCGCAGCGCCCGGCCGGGAGATGCCCTGGCGGGACGGCGGGGGGGC